TCCTTCTGCACTCACTTAAAGTCTGGATCATACCTAAGAAGGTGATTGGGAACACTCAGGATGGATTTACAAATTGGAAATCATCCTCAATCAAACTGATAGCCTTCTACAATGAGATGACTGGCTTGGAGGATGGAGAGGAAAGTTGTGGATGTTTAAACCGACTTTCTAGCAAGACCTTTCAACACTGTAATAACCTCAATGACAAACTAATGAAGAATGAGCTACATAAGTGGACGGTGAGGTGGTCTGAAAACTAACTGAACTGCTGAACTAAAAGCATCGTCATCAGTGGTATGAGCCCAGTGGGAGGCCAGTTACTATTGGAGTACCCCAGGGGTCAATACTGGGTCCAAGCCTGTTCTTCTTCTTCCTTAATAACCCGAATGGTGAGACAGAGTGCACCTTTAGCAAGTTTACAGATGATACAAAATTGGAAGAAGGGCTGATACACCAGATAAGTGTGCAGTCATTCAGAGGGACCATAGCAGGTTGGAGAAACAGGCCAACAAGAATCTCATGAAGAGGGAAGTGCAAAGTCCTACCCCTGAGGAGGAACTGCCCCAAGCACCAGTATATGCTGGGTACTGACCAGCTGGAAATCAGCTTTGCAGAAAGGGACCTCGTGGTCTGGATGGACAGTAAGTTCACCATGAGCCACTAATGCGCCCTCGTGGCAAAGGCAGCCAATGGTATCCTGGGCTGCATTAGGGAAAGCAATGCCAGCAGGCTGAGGGAGGTGATCCTTCCCCTGTCCTCAACATTGCAGAGACCACATCTGGAGTATTGTGTCCAGTTCTGGAATGCACAGTACAAGAAAGACATGGACATACCAGACTGAGTCCAGCAAAGGTCTGAATGGTCAAAGCCTCTGGACATGTGAGAAGAGGCTGAGATGCAGGACTGTTTAGCCTGGAGAAGAGAAGACATGTATAAAAACCTGATGGGTGGGGAGTAAAGACGACTGAGACAGAGACTTCTCAGTGATATCCACTGAAAGGACAAGATGCAATGGACACAAATTGAAACTGATAAACTTTTTCATTGTGAGGGTGGTCAAAGACTGGTACAGGTTTCCCGGTGAGGTTGCAATGTCTCCATTTGTGAAGATATTCAAAAACCTGACTGGAGAAGGTCCTGAGGAACCTGTTCTGGCTGACGTTGCTTTCAGAACCTCTGCTTCAAACCAGAGTCTTCATAGAATCATAGAATCATAAAGGTTGGAAAAGACCTCTAAGATCATCAAGTCCAACCGTCAACCCAACACTACCATGCCCACTAAACCATGTCCCTAAGCGCCTCATCTACACGTCTTTTAAATGCTTCCAGGGATGGCGCCTCACCCCCTTCCCTGGGCAGCCTGTTCCAAGGCCTGACCACTCTTTCAGTAAAGAAGTTTTTCCTGATGTCCAGTCTAAACCTCCCTTGGCGCAACTTGAGGCCATTTCCTCTCGTCCTATCGCTTGTTACTTGGGAGAAGAGACCAACCCCCACCTCGCGTCAACCTCCTTTCAGGTAGTTGTAGAGCGCGATGAGGTCTCGCCTCAGCCTCCTCTTCTCCAGGCTAAACAGCCCCAGTTCCCTCAGTTGCTCCTCATAAGACTTGTTCTCTAGACCCTTCACCAGCTTCGTTGCCCTTCTCTGGACACGCTCCAGCACCTCCATGTCCTTCTTGTAGTGAGGGGCCCAAAACGGAACACAGGATTCGAGGTGCGGCCTCACCAGGGCCGAGTACAGGGGCACGACCACCTCCCTACTCCTGCTGGCCACGCTATTTCTGATACAGGCCAGGATGCCATTGGCCTTCTTGGCCACCTGGGCACACTGCCGGCTCATGTTCTTTGAAGTTGTGCATGCTACTACATTACTGCTTTTAAAATAAAGATTGTTTAAAAGATGGATGACTTTTAAGAAGAAACTATGAAGAAAGAGTTAATTTATACGACATTTTTCACCTAGTTAAACAGAAAAAGGTATTACATGCCCAAAAAGCACATTGAAAGAAAACAAATCTTTGCTTTGATATCTTCCTCTTGGTGGTGGTTGTGTGTGACTCAACCTTTCATGTGGCAAAGTCTAAAATTTGTATAAAGAAGTTTAGATGGATGATTTAGTTTGAATATTTTTTCTGTTTTTAATTACTAATTATGGCTTGGTTTAAGCCACTATATAAAAATGACAAGTATTTGCATTGTTCCTAATTTCCTTCTGAGATTGGCATATTCAGTTTCTTAAGTGTATTACATGCACATTACATTTACACAGACTCAATTTTGGCATTTGATTTCTGTAAGACTGACTTCTTTCGGTGGCTCATATGAAGCACTTGCGAAGTTCCATCTTGTTAGTCGCAGAAGTTTTATTTCCCACTCTTGATAAATACTCTCCTTTTACATATATTCCATAACAAGAGGTAACGTAAGAAAGTGAGACACTGAACTATAATTAAAGATTTGTGCGTGCAATGTGTATGTGTGAGATAACGAGTCATTCATTCAGCACGGATACACCCAAAGATTACTTGTAGAGTCTGTGCATGCAGCAAAATACCTATGCTTACTAGAGAGGTTATCCTTTATGCACTACAATAAGAGAGTTGAAACTCAATATGTTTTGGGGCTATACTTTCTCTCTAGGTTTCCAAGCTGCAACAACAAAATATAGAAGACATTATTTTGGTATGTTCTGGGTTATGAAAACAGTAAAAACATGAAAACAAAGAAAAGCACACATCAACCAGGGAGAAAGATAAACACATAGAAAAAAAAAGTTTTCTTAGTCTGCTAGACTCTTTATTCTAATCAATCTAAAAGATATTATATTAAATTACTTACTATAGGTAAATCATACTGTCAGTGGACTTTTTTAAGCAAACATGGAAATGTTATGGTTGTAGCTAATAAGAAGTATGTTAATTAAAAAAATATTCTTGAGAGTATAATGTTAAGGTGAGACCTAGAATTCTTTTGAAGGAAGAAATTCAGGTTTCTTTGATAACTCAAAGGGCAGCTTTGTGGGGTTTATTCATTGACATGTTCAAAAACAAACACTCTAATCAAGGAAAAATCTGTTTATTAAAGACAGATGTCTGAGTATACGTGGCAATTATTCTAAGCTATACCACTTCTTTGTAGCAAAGTGAATACAGGCTAGAGAAAAGGTCTAAATCAATATACTTAAAAATGGAACCAGAAGTAAATTCCCTCTGGCACAGACAAATATGAAGTATCTGTAAATATTCAGGAAAGCTTAACACACAGAGGATTTTAAACTATTTCAGAGCAAAAAATATATTAAAAAGCATGCTCAAAAATCTTGGAATTCAATAAGAATTTTAATCACATCATAATAAAAGTCAGAACTACATCATGGCAAAATAAAGGTATAAAAAACCAAATAATCAAATATCTGAAGTTATTCTAACCTGCCATTGCTGCTTCCGCATTATATCGGAATTGGAAGGAATCATATTCCTCACTAAAGGTCTTTCTACACTATTAACCATAAGAAAAGCAGCATTTATCATGGGCTGCGCAACTTTGGAGTATGCTTTTCCTGTTCTGAGGCAGTAACAAATTCTCAAATCAAATACACCACCTAAAGCTGCCAATTCTGAAACGTAAATTCTGGATGAGAAACAAATGTTCATGTTAAATTCCTGTATGCATGTTCAATCTTATAATTGCATTCGTTATTGTCCTTGACAGACTGAAAAAAAAAAAAAAAGATCATAATAGTAAACACTGCTATAGCCAACAGCTTGAAAAAATCTCCATGGTAAAATAACTATGGCACTTAGCAGAAAACGGACACATGGAAAAACAGATCGTAATTTAGAGAAAATGTATTAACATTTTTTCTTCAGAATAAACCTAAATTATTTTTAATCAGATATTTGTTCCATAAAAAATATGAATTATTTTGGTTTTCCAAGTAAAAGCACAGTAAGATTTTTATGTACAAGTACCTTCCTGAGACCACATCTACTGGTCCTCTCCTCAGCTGACTACTAAAAACTTCTGCTCTTTAGACTACCTGGAATGACTATAAAGTGAGAAACATTACTTTTGGTTACTTTCCTCCCTGTGCTACTCCTGCTTTCCTGAGCTGATAAAACTTGATAGATCTTGATAGATCAAGATCAACTCTAGATAGTCCAATCCTCATCTGTCTGCACAGCTGATATACAGTCTTTAAGAATATGAGAAAAGGTAAGCGTACTAAATAGCAAACACATAAAGAATGAAGAAGTGCTGAAGAAAATGCCAGCATGTTCTGATGCAACAGAGGGTTCCTTATTTTCCTCATTCCATTTTTTCTTTAGCTAAGACAACCATACTTAATCAGATATATAATTGATTTCTGAAGTGAAAAAACTTTTTTCATGATTGACCAATAGAATAAACATTTTTACTATTATAGCATAATTTCTAAATATCAGAGGACTTTATTAAGGATGTAACTATTGTTTCTATTTTTATCACAACAGCAAACCTAAGTAAACTAAAATTGTCTCTCCTGCAATTAACGTATTATGAAATATAGCTTCCATTTTTGGGAACAGGTGATCAGTGAGCCATTTTTACATTCACAGATCTACTTTCTATTACCTGTAGCTAATGTGCAAACAGTGCATTCTGAGTAGAACAGATTTGTTTTTTAGTACTGACATCAGCCAAGAATCTTAAACACCAAACAGAAAATATGACAACATTCTCAGTTTACAGCTCTAAAAATCATACATTTTAAAATTCCTAAAGAAACCACTACACTAGATTTTATGGTTTATCTACAAGGCACATGTCTTGCATCCACGGATTTATAAATTGCAAATCAAAAAGGATAGATGACTTTTAAGAGTTTGCATACAGTAAGCAGCCATTAAAATCTGTAGATATTTGGGGGGAAAAAAGCATGTCAGAAACTAAAAACAATGAGAAAGATTAACTGTTATTAGGAAGCCAAAACAAACTGTAACTGCAGCGTCATAAGTTACTTACCAATAGAGATAGGGTTTATCCTTATCTACATTGATATTGTTTAGCGGATCCATACGAAACCAGGTGTTAAGAGTAAACCCATTTTGATAAGGCCACTTAGCAATAGGAGGCAATGCAATTGCCTGGAAGAAAAAAAAAAAAAAAAAAAAAAAGAAAAAAGAAAAAGGAAACAGCAAGTCAATAATGAATTTTCTGAAAAGTATTGCTAAACGTAATGCTTTTCTAAAGTCATTCTTTCAAGTCATTCTTTCCTGTCATTCTAGATCTGCAGATCTGCTTTAACTTTCAAATATTAAAGAAGAATATAAAAAAAAACCACCCTTCAAATAGTGCTTTTGAATAAATGCATTAGTTTTCCATTTATTTTAAAATTTATTAATTTTTAACTACACAAATTCTACCAATAATTCTACATGAAATTAAATTTCTGAATGGGCAATATTAAGAGAAAAAAATAGAAAAATTACTTCTGCAGAATTAAACTATATATTCAGCTTTCAGTAAGTATTCATCTCATCAACAGACTTAAACATTAAGATCAAATTAATCTCAACAGATAGTACAATAGAGATTCACTGTTAAAAGTACAGTGTAAAAAAGGTTGTTCTCTGAGATGTAAGAGTACTATCATTTTTTTTTCCTATGAACACTTAGTAAGGTAAGAGACTGAAAATTTTACCCCCATTCTCAGTTAAATACATTAACAGTAAGGTATGGCCTGGGAAGAAATTTGATTTTTCAATATTTTATTTTTATGGGCTGACTGATGAAGAGGTTTCAGAGAACTTTTCATCCCCGGGCAAGGCCCTGAATACCTGATCTAACTTTGAAGTTAGGCACTCTTTAGGGAGGAAATCAGATAAGATGAACTTCAGAGGTCACTTAAAAGTAAGTGTTTTCTATGATACCACTAAAAGATAAAACATTTTTTCCCCTCAGTATGAGAACTATACACAAAATGAAGTAATTTAAAAAAATAAAAAAATTAAGTGTTTGTAATAACCTAGAGATTACTGTAGTAGGCACTAATTACAACAAATTCTTTCTCCCTCCATCAGACAAAATATAAAATATTTTACACAAAAGTAGTTAAGGAATAAGAGCCTTTAATACTACTTCTTGAAATAAGTTGTATATGAATGCAAAGCAGAAGAAAATATTTTATATATAACAATAGCATGTTATTTCTAAGGGTATTTAATTGATATTTTTCAGTTTCAGTAAGATAATTTAAACTTTTACTACACTTTATAATAACAAAGACTAGTTAATTAATCCTTGCACTGATGGTATTGTGTTCTTATCAAAGCTATCAGTGATACTGACTGAGCACTGGCACAGGTTGCCCAGAGAGGTTGTGAAGTCTCCATCCTTGCAGATGTTCAAAAGCCATCTGGACACGATCCTGGGCAGCCTGCTCTAGGTGGCCCTGCTTCAGCATAGGGGGGGTTGGCCGAGATCCCTTCCAACCTCAACCTTTCTGTGATTCTGTGGGCTACTTATGAGTCACAGTTGGAAATTTTCAGGAGTTCTCAAATCTTGTACTACCCTGATTCATACCGAAGACTACAAAGAATTGTAGCAAACTCATCATTGCTTAAAATAAGAATGGACATTAGTCTCTGGGCAATAGAGTCACAATAACCACACTAGGATTCTATGCCAATGTAGTAAAGTACGTAAAAAAATGATACAGAGTGAGACTGACTTTTCATTATTTTTATATGAAAGGCAATTGCTGAAAGAGTTTTAAGAGCAGAGAAATAGGTAATTAAGAATGATAGGGAACTCACTGTAAATGTTATAATTAGATACAGCAATGTGCTCAGATTATGCTAGTATTTGACTAGACACAAGAAATAACACCAATTCTGCTGCTAGCCTGGTACTAACTGCTCAGTACAAAACATTTCAAGGAACTCCTCTGGCATATCACTCCTGCCTCCTGAGAGGGAGTTCCCTGCCTGAAAAAGGGAAAAAGCTGCTTGATGACAAAGAGGAACAACACCCGGGTATAGTACCGCCACCACAAGGTGTCCTCCTAATGGAGTGACTAATGTGCTACTTATACAGACTGGCAGAGTACACAGTACTGGGAAGAGCCCTTCAGTTGGGATAGTGAAGCAGCTCTCACCAGCAGATCAGCAGACTGGTTCAGTAGACCCTTAGCTCTTTCATACTACCACTGAAGTCTTGGTTATACAACACCCAACTTTACAGAGGGCCAATCTGATATTTATCATGCCAAGTAAACATGCTGTTTCTCTGTCTGATGTCATCACTGTGCATCATACCTGCAAACCTGAACTCAGTGCTAGTAAACTAGGTCCTATCCAGTCTCTTTCTTCTAATTAAGTGCTTCGTTGTTTGGGTCATTTTATAAGTAATCGCCCTTGGTCCACTTCAGAGGATGACTCCTCTCCAGAACATCATAGTGTAATCCAACATGCACTGCTCAAGAAACATAAATCTGACACTCGTATTTCTTGATTTACGCAGTCAATGATGAGTGGTATGTGAAACAAGATCCTATCCAAGGAAAGAGAAATGCCTATTGTCCATTTCAGTCAAGAAACTTTATGCTCCTGTAATTGATGCACCTCTTTGGACACTTGAAATACTTCCCCTGCAAACCTTTTTTTGAAACTCTGATACAAAATTGAATTTAAGAGAGACATTTCATCGGGGTTTGCCTCTGAAGCCCAGAAATGTCAAAGCAGTATGTGTCATTGTAGACAGTCATATTCTGCAACAGCTGTCTTGCTGCTGCATGTACTTTTAGGAGAAGTTAACTGTGGTTTTAATTTAGCAGTAGCAAATTAAACTCTCTCTTTCAAAACTCAGTAATTAATTCCTTACACAATCCACCCCTATGCATTTTGCTGACACATCTGTTTGTGCAGCTGAATATCAAACAAGATCAAGGAAGTGATCTAGCCAAAAATAACCCAGGTGAAAACCAGTGATTTTCAGCCAGTTCATTTCCCTGATGCAATCTGCCACACCGACAGCTGTATTCACAAAGAACAGGAGGTGGTTGTTTATGCTTGAAGAAAACTATCCGTGCTATTGAGGAAATACAAGTAGAACAGCCCAAAAGAAGCTCCTACTGCCCTTCATGCACTGACATGAAAAGACAGGGATCTCAGGATTATTTCCCCTTAAAAGATTCCAAGTTCTGCCATGAGCATATACTATTCCATACCAGAATGGAACTGAACCTCAGATCTGGATTTCTCATTTTTAAGCATTTGTATTTACTGCCTTAATAATCATATTTATAAATCTTTATACAATATTTGAATTTATTTGTAGGTTTTTCTGAACATACATGCAGTGAATGGAAGAGAGAATATCTATTTGAGAAGGTTTAGAAAGCAATACAATTTCATTGTCATAAGTTATCTCAAAAAGTAAAGCCAAAAGAAGACTGCATTTAAATCACTGCCTTGAGGGAAAGAAAACAGCTGATGGAGTTCAGACAAAAAGAAAAAGATACAATAAAATTTATGACTAAGCTGTCACTGTAAACCGTGATGACATGGACAAGCTGTGCTTTATATAATATCAATTAAATTATTCAAATAAAATAACACTGTTCTTTGGAATTTTCAGTTTTCACCTTTCTGATAACTTCCCCAGAAAAAAATCTGCTATTTGACATTCCATCTTCACAAGTGCAACTTCTCAACACTGCAACTACCTTGCAAACCTATGGAAGGCAAGGTCTACACTACTCAAGCATGTATTTCCCCTCTTGTTTCCTTTTCAAGAATTTCCAAAACCAAATTAAAGGAAATGCAAATGAGGAGCAATTTATTTATTCCTCAAGTTGTAGTATTTTGGTTGAAAACTTACTGCAGCACTACAGCCTGGGAAGTTGAAAAAGGTATCAGGCCCATGTCTCTGTGGCATCTGATTAAGGACTGATAATAGTTTAACCGCATGTCTTGGCTGGGAAAACAAGAAAATTGCACAAAAGTCAATACAACCATTTTTGTACTCTCTAGGCTACAACGGAAACTGGACAGTTTTCAAAAAACACAGCAAATTAACTCTAAAGTAGTTAGCAAAAATACTTCATAAACATATGTTCAATCAACATAAAAAAAAAAAAAAATTCAAGTTTATATGTCCCAGGAGACAATTTATGTTAACTTCAGGCTCTGATGGAATGACAATGCTTTATCTGATCACAGCTTACCCAGATTCCATTTTCGCCTCGAAGCATGCTGAACAAAAGCTTCAACTCTTTGACAGTGATGCTGTAGCTGGCAAGAACCCCCAACATATCAACTAGAAGATCTTCAAAGGAAAATAAAGTTATTCTGAACTCTGAATTTCACTGTTTTGACAAAAAAGCTGAAAAAGTTAATACCTTTAAAAGTAAGTGTATTCACAAATTCTAAAAATCAAACTTAAATTGCCTTAAATATTTTACAAAGGATTTCATATTCTCATTGTTTTAGGTATTTTAGAAATAAATTTACATATGCAGTTTTAGATTTTGCGTCACACTTTGAACAAAGCATCCATTAAATTTATGAAGAATTAATTCTTTCCATTTCACAACACTCATCATACATTATGAACTTCTTTCTTGCTCCCAAAAGGGATAACAGCTTCTTCATTTCTCTGAAGTTAATATTTTTCAAAAATTTCTGACCTAAAAGATGCTTGACATTATTCTTTAACTTAAGCACAGCACATTATTCTAAGAATTTATATGGTTCCCACAGTTTTGCTACAGTGATAATGCTTCCAATTTTTACCAGAATAAAAGGCCAGGGGAAAAAAACAAACAAAAAAAAAACCACAAAAAAAATCAAAAAAATCATAGTGAGAAAACAATAAAAGACCACAATAAAAAGAAGTGATCAAAATTGCTAACAAATTTATGTAATACAGCTTTCATTTAAACATCTCAAAACCCATAAACTTTTAAAGTAATAGCATTACATAGCCTGCCTTTCAGAGAATATCAGGTTTAAAATTATTGCTAGTGCTTGGATCTTTATTTCAAAACATTCATTTTAAGAATTTGTTAGCATGTGGGATGCTGGACCTTGCCTTATACTCCACACTTTCTTCTGCAATAAAACGCACTACTGAGAATTACTCCTTCCTCTAGCAGGAGGAGAAACAATTTGTTTATCTTCACAGATGTGGCATAAGAAATTTAATTCATAGATCAAGCAGTGAAGTACAGAGTTTCCAAGAAAAAAAGCTATGACACAATAGAATCAGCATTAACAAACTTTTTCAATCTACTCAACAATCAGAAAATTCTCCCCATAAAACTTGTAGAAGACATGAATAAGCTCATATCTTATTTGCAGGACTACATGTTCTCCTTGTTCATTAGTGAAAGGATGACTCTTACAAGTGCTGACAAAGAGTAGCCTTAAAAAACATCCATCCTTTTCAGGGACATTTCGCATTGGTATTTTGTTTTAAAACAAATTTTCTCTCTGCAAATCCCTACATATGTGTGTTTGAGTAAAACCATCAGTATCTATTTAACTTATTCCACTATGAAACCAACCTCTGGTCCTCAGTAAGCAAAAGGCATGTGTGAAGAATGAAATATCATTTAATTTACAGGAGACATACTAAGCTGTTCAGTGAGTGAAACTGCATGTGAGGAAAGCCGAAAGAAAAACACTAACTTATTTTCACCGTAAGATCTGAATATATTCCTAATGTTCAAGTATAGACTTTTTTCCCCCTTTCTTTAAAGGAAGAGTTTATTTAATCTTACCTTTAGAATTAGTGCCACATTATATTTGTGACAGAATTTCTTAAGGGAAAGCAAAATAAAACTAAGAAAACTAAAACCTCTTGTCTTTTATGATGGTGAATTTTATGACTCAGCTCCTCCTCTACTACCTACAAGCATCTGCCCCCTTCACTGTACAGTCTCCAGCCTGCAATGTGAAGCTGGCAGCGATTGCACATATTGTACGTGATCGGAAATTGAGAACAGTAACACACTGAAAACCCAGAAAGGGAAAACAGCACAAGTGAATACCAATCTTTGGCTAAGAATTTCCCAATTCTTATTTTGTAGTCTTAGCTTGCTTTTTAGATCAAGCTACTTCAAAGTTTGCTTCCTTTACAGAGAAAAAGTGCTGTGTAGAAGCAAAGTTGTTTGGTGAAAATCAGAACATCATTAAAAAAAAATCTTCTAACATAGATGACAAAAGTGTAAATTAATACAGTCAAACACAGAAATGATTGGCAGGTTTTTAAAATTACTGAACATGTGCTGCTTTGTTTCACTATTATAGCCCTGTACTACCTTATGGCACAGAAAATGTCTTATTTCTGCTGAAGATGTTGATAACCCACATGCATTAGAAATACATAATTATAAATAATGAATAAAACATTGATGGAGAGAAATAAATGTAAACTCCCTAACAATGTAATTCTGGTTAAAGCAAAGACCTGAAAGATTGAAGCCCACTAGATAACAAGTAAAGATAAAGCTAAGAACATCTGTGGAAGTCGAAGCGCTTAATGCTACTTAAAAATATTGCTGTAAACACCTCTAAAGAAGGTTTCTTTCTTGTTTCAATATAACAAGACTTAAAAAGAACTGTACTCTAGTACATAACTTTATTCATACTTACTAGAAATCTCATATAAAAGAGTCAGTCCACATCTGGTTTATAAATCCTAATAATCCACTCATCTATAAATGGACAAAGGTCACAAAACATACTACAATTGGATTTTTTTAATGTTTACTTCATTTTTTTATATTAAATAAGATCACATGTATAACTGGTATCTATGATCTCATTTCAGAAACAAGATTGTGTAAAATAATATTAAGTCCAGAAGGAGAAAACAGGCACTGTTTCTCATTTTTAATGCATTTCTGAAATGCACTGAATGCAAGAGATTTTATTTCTGTTATTGGCACCTTCTGACTACTTTCATACTAAGCAGTTTATATATGATCTATAAATTAACCAGAAACCTTGAAGTTTAATTCAGTCATTTAATATGAATAAACAATGGTAAAAGAGCCTTCCTGTCTTTCAAGTAACAATGAGCATATATCAAAATGAATGGTATGGCATTAACTTTAGAAGACATATTAAACAGCATTGGAAACGCAACTTCAGGAAAACTACCTTCATGCATCGTTAACCTTTTAATAACAGACAGCCATGAAATTGTGAATTTTAACTCTGTTGGTGAAGTAAATTAATTTCTACAGGTTGGCAATACAGAATGTGATAATTTTGCAGTTTTTCTTATGGAACCCGTTGTAAGAGAGATGCTTATTAACAGCCCATTAATGACAGAGCAGTCAAAACCTAACATTTTTGCTTAAAAACTAGGAACTGTTTCAGTGCTTAAGAATTCAGTTCCAGCAGTTTTAGAACAATTACCTACAGCATCACAACAGAACTGCAGGAAATAAAATGGGGCTCAAAGGAGACATATCCACTCTGTACGAGTTCAGGCTACTTTCTCATCCACCATTCAGACTTCTCTGAAGGTACTACAGACAAACTATCCCAAAGAGTCTTTCAGAGCAGATGATCTGCTTCACTACTCATCACCTGGAAATAGAGAACTGTAGAAGTGAATCCCTCAAGGAAGATCCTGTGCAGCTGTTAAAAAAAAAATGTCCCAATCGCCTATGCAAATATTTTAATAATCTTTTCCCCTTAACCACTGATAAAACGGCTGACCATCCCCTATCTTATATAGGGGGGGTATAACAGATTATCACAGTATAAAGATGACTTCTGACAGGTGATGCTTCTGGAATGCAAATTGGCATACAAGTGGCAATGATCCCATCTGTATTGCAATTAAGACTTTCAAGGTGATTAAGCTTTTATTCTTAACCACAGAATCTGCAAAATCTCAACAAGTGAGATATTTAAAGTGCTGAGAAGCCTCATGAATCTGATAGTCTTCATCTAAACAGACAGACAAGTTCTTCTCACTGCAGAAGACTGGGTACATATTTATTTGCTATTGTCTTACTTTCATAAAACCAGAGAAGAGTGGCTTCAGACTTAGACTGGTCCTGAAAGCGTGCTGTCAGAACATAAAACAGGGGTTATGCCTGTCTTATCTGTTTAAACCTTATCTAGGTCTAAACACAGCATTTCACAAAGGAACAAGTGAGATGACCTCAAAAAAAACAACTCCCAAAAAAACCAAATAAAGCCCAGAAAACCTGTACCCTTCACAGATCATAGAATCATAGAATCATTA